GATTAATACCCATATCAAGTCTTACCCTCGTCTCAAGCTTGCGTCCATTCATCACGTACCGACTGCAACTTTGAAGCCATTTCTTTCTCCGCACATTCTTTACTATCGCGTATATCCTCACTATGCCGGCAAGCACAAGGCCTTCGTGTAGGCTTCATGACACGGTCATGTGTCCATTCAAGTTTCTGTATTTTCGCCACCTGTCATTTGTGCTCGAGCATGCGACTCACAGTTACTTCCCGAAATGGATTAGAGCGTTCTGGCGTTGCGCGGACGACCTCTCCACCCCACCAAGAGCAGATGGCCTATGGGCTCATGCGAACGCCGAACTCTCGAACAACTCAACCCGGTTGACTAATCTCTCTACTCATTTCTCCTTTGCATAGCGCTTCCAGCCTCGGCTCAAATATTTCTCATCTTCTTACGAACTCTTGTGTAACATGGATACACCGGATAGTTTTACGAGGAGTAACGGAGCCCGAAGTAAGCTTCCAAATCGCGATTTCTGTTCCTACTGACACGCACTCCAGGCCCCCCAGGCAATGCCATGGTGTCTCACCCATATGGAAATCGACCTGTAGCGTCCATGTCGGCCCCGCGCGGCGTCACGTCGCAGATGGCGAACGAGGTCGACCGTAGCGCCCAGCGAGAACAACCACCTTCTCTTGCAGGCCTTCCTTGGAACAATCCCGCCGTAACGTACACACCCGCACACTATACGCGTCGAAATCTGCTGCAGGATTGGCTTTTGCAGAGCAACGAATATCATCGCCGGCGAGTCAGGGCAGTCATTGAGTTCTCCAGAGACTTGTTGATGCAGCTTGGACAGAACCAGGACGATGACGACCTGATACTATACATGATATCCAAGGACCGCATTCACGACGCATGGATTGATATCTTCCTTACAACGCCTGACTGCTATCTGCAGATGGCACCAGCTGATGTTCAAGAAGTATATCATGAGCAAGTCAAAGCAATGTCAAGCGGAGTAAAGATCAACGAGTATATCTTGGGTCGACCGAGAAAGCGAAAAGCTTCCGAAACCGAGAACGGGGTTCAAGTACTTCACACAGCTAATGCAGTCAACAATGCAGAAGGACAAGTGCCTGAGTACTCGGGTAAGCGACCCCACCACGAGATCCCCCCACTGGCAGATGAATCACAGTCTCAGGATCACTTGTCACTGCCCTCTGAGACTCTACTTTCAGCTTGCTCGTCGCAGGAGCTGGACCGCATCTTAGACATGTTCATGCCAGCTCTAAGCGCTCGAGTTGCTATCCCCACACATGATCCGATAACGTATGCGCCAGAGCCGGTGCTCAACGCGATGGCAGTCGCAACAGCAGTGGTAGTAGCACCTCCAAGTCAGCCCGTGATACCGGTAGCTATCCCTCCAACAGGCGTAGCCCCCCAGCCTGGCTTAGCGGACCCCATTGCTGCTTACATGGCTAGCAACCCCTCTAGGAACACACAAGATATCGCCGGTCAGGGATGTGCAGGCATTGCAATGTCCCGTGGTCAGATCCGTGCCTTTGTTGAGATCCAAGGTAGACCATTGGCAAGCCTTCCACCCGCGGCCAACTCCCACCATCGTCATGAGCTGAGGGGTGTGGCTCCACCAAAAACAATTGATCCTACTCTGATCAACTGTGTCACGACTGCGCAGGAAATACTCACTGTAAGTCTACTGCTCCGATCTGAAGAGCGCTCACTGATACTTGATCAGTTTCTTCCATTTCAGACCGTGAACTACGAGCTATGGGACCGCATTCGGAAGTCCTGGGCCCCAAAGGCGATCGCTGATTTCATAGTGAGTTGTTGGATCTCTTTCCAAAAATCACATACACAAGCTTATGCTTACTTAACCAGGCCTATGTTCGTCAGCTACGCTCAGGTAAGAGCTTCCACCGGACGACCTTCCACCACTATCACGATAACCGACCGGAAGACATACCAGAGCATACTTTCACCACGAACGTACCTTCAAACATGTCACCGAGAGGGAAACTGGACAAAGATGCCCGCATCTGGCCTCTTCACGACTACTTCCTTTACCATCTGGGGGACGGAGTAGTGCATTACCCCGCTGGTCGCAACGCACAGCTCATGACGCACTGCGTTTGGCATGTGCGGAATGTATCCCATGACATGGATGTCAAGATGTCGGAGATCGTTCAGTATGCAGCGAAGCATGGCATATCCGTTCCTGCCGCGGATCTGATTCAGCCGGACACAAACGTGGTGTTGGAAGACACGCCTTCGCCGGCCTTCCTTGCTATGATCCACAACAATTTTGTGAGCAAGTATGGTAAAAGCTCTGGTGGTATCTAGGAAACCATACCAGAGATCGGGGACGCGGTTTCGTGGCGACTCAGTTACACGAACAGGAGATGGCTTTTCTGTTCAGCATTTGCTGTGGTGTCCCACATCAGTGTTCAGGAACGCTTCATTCGCATAACAGACAGGACGCGGATGCTTTATTTCCCTCCCCCCTGACCTTCCCTTTGGACACAGAGCTATGGAAATGCTACACAGGAACTGTTTTGGCAGACTGTGACGCGGAGAGTGATGATTAAACGGCGATATTCGACACATCAAGTAAAGTCCATGGTGCATTTTACTTTGCTGCCTGCGTAATCTCGTATAGTAATACAATGACTCTCCTGACCCTAGCTAATGACAAACGCTGGATCCAAGCCCATGTGCACGTGCTGTATCTATTCACGTGTGGGTGGGGTTATATACTAAAACCATATGACCGACAGACCCTCTTGACATTACCACAGCTCCAACATCGCCCAAACAAGAGCAAGCGACATTATGAATCAGAATAACTGTAAGCTGCCTCAGTCGAATCCCCATTTAGCTTGCTTGGGGTTCAATGTACTAATTACGGCCGTCACAGATCTCGCGAATAGTGCGGCGTCTCCTTCAGGTGGCTCAAGCTACACGCTGAGTCACACCGTCAGTCACGGCGGTGATAACTCTGCTCAAGTCCAAGACTATCAAGCGTCAGATGAACTGACTCGCAACGGACTGCGCGCTGAGGCAGCGTTCAATACACCCATGGTCCAGCTGATCATCAAGGACTTCTGCGACTTGAGCGAGCGACTGGAGCGGATCGGGGCCATGGCTCCCACACAGAGTGGCCTACAGTACTGGGTTCGCGACTCCGCCAACGGAAGGGGTATCATCGTTGCTGAGTGTGTCGAACTCTTGAGGTACGCGCCCGGATACACCGTGCGTGTTCCGCGGGACGTGCGATTAGCATTCGAAGCCCTCAACACCCCCGAACTCGTAAACCAAGCTATGTATCACAGCCTCTCGGGATATCTACGATACCTCGCAGCTCAACAGCCGGCGCTGGCTCTCCAAGCTTACCAACCACCACCACCGCCTATTCTACTTGAACGCCAGAACCAGATCGTTGTACCGCAAGGACCTAGAACATCCGGCGTTCGTTCTAGTGGTTCCGCTGGTATCCATCGGTACGAGTGGCCAGAGTCTCGTAAACTTGCCTGGCTTTGCATCACCCCACGTATGGTTCTACCTGAGAAGGCTTTAGAATCCTCATACTGTTCCTTCAACAGCGTAGCGCTGTGGGACCACGTTGACGTCCGACTGATTGGACCCAACATCGAGGTGACTCTTGTGGAGATCGCTGCGGTAGGCTACTCAATCCCTCCCCCATGCGCGCAAAATGAACTGACAAAGGATGCAGTTCTTTCCTCGAGCAGCCTCATGTTGGAGGGCTATCTGGAAGCGCTTCGAAGCGAGCGGATGGAATCTTCATAAGCTGCGTGAGCTGATCGTCAGTACTTACTGCCTCTGTCTTCAAGAACCTTGCTAACGAATCTCAAAGTTCTACTCCCGCCAGCTTAGTGTAGGCGATTTACGGGCCCACTCCGCCGGCAGTATGAAGAAGCATCGACGAGATGCTCGTGATCACTCTTGCGCCGCCGCCGGTCTTACGCTCTCTGCGATCAATACCGATCGTGTGAACTCAACTACCGAGTTCTGCGATCTTCGCGACTGCTTCCTTGTCAGCCTGGGCGACGGACTAGTATACTGGCCTGGAGGAGCTGATCAGGGGGTGCTGACCCTTGCTGTCTGGCACGCTCGTCGACACGGCCATAATAACGTACGGCTATCTCAACTTGAGCGTTACGTCGAACAAGTACAAGCGGAAATGGTTAAACTATATGGTCCTCTTCCACAGCCTAGTTCCCTTGATCTCTATCAGACTGATTGGCAGGCGCTGGAGCGAATCTTTCCGCAGCAGACTTACGATGCGACTCGGGTTCATGATCCAACGTACGATGTCGTCCGAAAGTGGTGGGCAGCGGGACGGTATTTTCACCAAGACTAAAGAAGTCATGACCGCAAAGACGCTTCAGGAAGATGTACATAGCCAGCCAACAGGTCTTTCTATGCCTGGCTGATTGATGATAATAGCTGGCGAAAGGTCATGTTAGATATCCAGAGCTGTGCCTACAGCTTACGCTGTGTTCTTGGCGCGATGTTACATGTTCTATGTCTTCCCACTAAAGGCCTATTCTATCAGTGTCTCTCTTGCTGACAACATGCACATGGCTACCCATTCCAGTAAGCATTGACGATGTCAAAATGGAACTAAGACTAACCTCGTTGGATGCGGAGCTTCACTACGCAGCCTTTTCAGATTGGTTCTCGTACTAGTGTGTTTCTTCCAGCGCCCTTTCTGGCCTGTGTGATACCCGAGGCAAGAATCTGGCTCGAACTCTGCCTCCTCTCCAACTGTACAGACTTTTGCCAGAACCTATACGACGGAAGAGCGATGCGTAAGTTGACACCCCTTGTCTAAAGGTCATGTATTGCGTCAATATACGCAGCGCCTGCACAATGTTGGTAAAGCTCATCATAGCCCTAACTTGAGATCCACAGCGCCTCGCAGAGACACCTATGACGGGTCTCTAGACCTCTTCCAGCGCACAATGCTCGGTATATCTAGCACAACAATGTCGGGTGACTACTATGTGAACGCAGTTGCCCCTCCAGGGCAGTATATGCGCCACCTGAGCGAAAGCACCACATGCCTGGATGTACAAGGACTATTCGCAGGCCTAGGGGAGTACGATACCTGCTTTGATGACACGAACTCTCTGGGAGTCGGGGAGGAGAACTTTGGCCTCGAGAGCTGGAACACGGCGTCCAGCAAGCCCGCGATCGTCAACCGTTCACAGTGCACTTCGGAGTGTAACCCTCAATTCCCGCGCGCGACGAACGACCAGGCGACGATCAGCTCCAACACCAACACCGGTAGGTTATATTCAGTCAAAAGATGTGATAATGTATCGCTAATACACGCGCTAGCCTTTCCAGCATACGACTTTGACTATGCGATAGCTTATCCGCATAGGATAGACGAATTCGCGAACGCTACACCGCCCTTCACATACCCGCAGTCGCTTACTGGAGACATCACAGACGCCGGCTTTGATAGTATCAATCAACAAATCCGGAGACGTCCGCAGCTGGGCTTCGACGAGAGGAGCTACGGACAGTTTGCATTCAGATCATCTTCTCGTCTCCAGAAGCCTCGGAATAACATTGCACCTCCGGGGTTCACTGTTCCGCACGATTCAGCTGAACCCTTCCTCTCTCTAGATCGGCTCTACAGCGCACAGTCTCGACTTCTCCCCGGTCTGAAGGGCGCACCGGTGCCAGGTACGAATTTGCTCAGACTCAGCCACGCATGCTTTCTGGGGACCATACCCCTTCCAGATATGGCATTCCATGCGCCTGGTATGGCCATATCTGCAAAGACTGAGGAAGTACTTCGACGAGCTGTACCAGAGTACAAGGCTGGGGCCCCTTCGTTGGCGGATAAATCTATGTTATCTGGTATGTTGGCCGCCCAGCCCTCTCTTACTATCCTTTGGCTTTTGGTCACTGCCAATAGTCCATATCAATGCACGTCCTCTTCCCATCTAATTAGAATCTATAGGAGATAATTCTCGGAGTGGAGATGATCTCTTTGATGAGCCCTCGTCCCCTATCTAAGTAGATCGAGCACTTGACCGCCTCGAGAGAAGAACACTGTGAAGGAGGACTCTAGTCGGGTAATGGCGAAAGGAACGTGGTTGTCGTTGCTGTGCCACACCAGCATGGAATTCACCGAGTCGGTGAGCGCCGCGCACTGTTTGTAGCTGGGTATGTTGAGAACTGCTTTGTATAGCACATACCACATTAGATCAATCAGACAATGTGTATCTAACTAGAAGATTGGTTCTTTGAAGTTTGTTAGCAAACCCGGTGTATTGGAAACCGAGCACGATCGAGTATATTAACATGATATCGGAGCTGAGCGTCCATAGCACATCCCGTACTCGACGCCTTATAATCTATGGCGACAAAGCTGCGGTGGTTAGGATCTACCCGTCAAGGCCACTTCTACCGCTCGTATTGTTGTCTTTTAAGTGTCTCTTAGCATCGCGATAAGCCGTTTTAGATCTTCTGACCTATTACAATCTTCTGTAGAAGACCGTAGATTGGAAAGCAGGTGGTGGCTGTGAAGGCATCGTAAAGGCTAGCGTAGCCCCTTGGCCGCAACAGCCGAACGCGGACGTTGCACCCTCGTCGACACTTTCTTTCGCCAATCTCAACATCCAATCGCTACTCCGCGCCCTGCTCAACTCGACATACACACAGCAGCCATATGTCACCAAGCTCGCTAGTATACCCATCCAGTGCAATCCGTGACAAAGACATCTGGTAAGACTCGCATGGCGCGCTGAGTCCATCGTCCACTGACTTGCCCGCCTTGCTACAGATACTATACTCCCAAAACCAATCAACTACCTTCAAAGTCCTTGCCGCAACCATCAGCGCGACGGAAGTTACTTCGCTAGGCTCACTGCCATCGCAGCCGAGGAAGTCACCGATGTCGTCGCACCAATACCCCAATAATTGGGCGCGACACGAAAGCCAACCATCCACCGAGCGAGCCTCTGAGAGCCACGAGCCCTCTCGTACATTGCAGTATCATTCTATCGACGCGATGTGGCCCACCGGCGCAGACGAATTCGTCTTTGGCGCTACCCTCGGCGTAGACGAAGCGCAACAGTCCGCGCATGATCATCAACAGTTCCCTGGCGCTATATACCATGTACTGGAAGATGAAGAGCCAGCATCGTCGTTTCTGTCGCAGTCTATCCGTGATACAGGGACGACCACGCCGGCTACTGACCTTTCCGCGTACGCTTTCGCCCCTCATGAGCCTCCGGGTTTCTCTACGCCTAGAGACAACATGCATCCCACGGGGCAACATTCGCCATATCTTGCTCCACCCACGAGCAGACCTGCTATACCTCAGGTCCGTACCGCGTCCAAGAAAGAACCCAAGAAGACTACGATAAGAGCGCCTAGCAAGGCCAACGGAGTGGCCAAGCCTTACCGACATACAGCAGGCACAAACGTCCAGGCCATCGCCAATTATGACTTTGGAACTGGCGAAATCCATCTTTCAACGTCTGCTAGTCCATCGCACAGCGATATATCACCGCAACTCACCAAATCACTGTCGGACTCACTCGGACCGCGAAGTGACTCGCTGGGCCTGGCAGCAGCAAGCTTGGGCGCCGAGAAAGACAGTCGCAATGACTTGTCAACACCGCACGTTGAAGCCGACGGAGAGATCTCCGCAGCTATACGTCTTCGAACGCCAAGCGAGTGTCAAGGAGGCAAGAATCTTGCTCGAGCATTGGGCTTCCTTGGAGGTAGAACCAGCCCGATCGGCCCCGGCGTCTCAGGCTTTGACATCACATTCGCTGACCTTCTCGACGCGAGAAGCCGACACCCTGGCCAAGTCATTGTACATCGAAATGCGCTTCTTGATTCCGAAGACTACAACTCGGCATTCGAAGAAGACGCACGGCTGAACCGAGATCTCTGCAATCAAGCTATTTTAAAATCCTCTGCGGATACGTCACCGGAAGGCACCTACCTTCTCGATCTTGGCGGCGGCTTCCAGATCACAGTCCCGCTTGATCCAATAATCGAAGCTACGTTCAAGCAAGGTGGTCAAGGCACCATACCACCCGAGGGTCTCGTACGTATCGCCACAGAGATGAACGTCGACATGAAAGACTACCGTGTCGATGGTAAACCACACCCGGTGTACAGTATGGGCGCCCCAAAGCAGGTCGATATCCGGCTCTTGGGCTCGATACCTGTCACCATAGTGGAGATGGCCATCGTGAGTATATATTGGTCGCTCAAACGAAGACACCGCAGCTGATGTATCGTATAGTGGTTTCCTGCGCATGGCTCACTCTGGCCGGACTGGACACAGCGATTTGCTCGAAGTGGCTGGACGCAAAACAACATCGCTGACTTGATTGTGAGTTCAGTTCTCCTTTCCAGCTCTTGTCTTTCGTAGGCTAATGTTTTGAAGAACCGCGCTTACAACACCGACGCCGTCGAAGGTGTCGGCCCATCGACAATCAGTCAGCAGACGAATAAACATGGTCGTGAAGCCCGTGAATTGTTGGAATCTTCTGGCCAGGGACAACAGCAGATCACTGAAAGCGCGGCCCATCCAGTAACGTCTTTCTCATGCGAGAGCTGGACACCGCCTGGCGACGAATACCAACTAGTCGACTATTACGTCCGTGATCTTGCGAACGGCGTCGACCGTGATGACTTTCCTTCCGGTTCAGACAGGGGCCTTCTGACTCAATTGATCGAGTTTGTCGACGACAATCTAGACGAGTGGGCTGATCTCTTGCTCAGTGATGTCCAGTTCATCGAAGATTCGGGTGGTTACTTCCAGACGACAAACCCGGCTTTCGGACCTGGGATGGAGAACCCAGACGAGGAGGCGTTTCGCCGTCACAGGCTGCAATTGAAACAATATCGCAAGACGATGGCGGATTATCGCATCCAGCAAAAGAAGGACAAAGCAAAATTCGCGATTGGGAGCCAAGACCAGGCTTAATGATCAGTAAGGCTGAGTTTTAGACATACCAGCCATTTCAGCTACCGCGATATCCTCTCATGACACTTGACGCATCTGTGCTATATATAGATCCGATATCTATCTCACGGAGGTCTCGAAGCCATCACCCAACTTTCGACACTGCGATAACCCCCTCAAGAGGCCGCCATCTCGCCATCGCGGTCTCATGACACGACTCAACCATATGAGGAACACGGTCTTGGGGATTCATCGACGTCAGCGAGAGCCTCGGCGATGCGTCTCGACCAAGAGTCCTAGTGCGTCATCTTTAAGCAACGGCAGAAGGGCTGTCGGAAAAGTTTGTTGTTGAAAACAAAATTGCGGTGGGATGCGGACTAGGCCCAAAACTGTAACATTGCTTCACGTCTTGCGTGTGTGAAGTCACCCAGTCACAATTTTGCTCCAATTGAGAAGCTTCCTCTCGTCTCAAGGATCGGCTGGAAAATGCTTCAACACTGCTCCTCACTTCCTGATCAGTCACGTCACATCCTAGCGATAATATTAATGTAAGCCATACAAGGGAGAGATTGCGAACTTGGCATCAGTCGATCAATTGGCCAGTCGATATCTTCAGAATACTTGTCAGTCCTCTCCAATTCGCAGAGGCGTCACACAAGATCAGCCACGACAAGAGAAGGATTGAGTCAAAGGATTGATGGATTTAAATATCTACACATGATCCAAGGGTCGACAAGAAAGACCGCAAATACAGACTTCATATGTGGTGGCGAAAACTCTGGACTCATTTGTGTGTTGAGTAAATTCTGGTCCGGGACAGAGGCAGTGTATTGGGTACCCCTTTTTGTCTTCACGAAAGCTTCATTATCCTACTTTCTTACACGCACATTATGTGCACTTTTCCTTGCGACTTAATCAAGAGTGATTAGTGTCACGAAAAGGTCAGGTGGATTGATGCTATACTTCAGTGTCTCTGTCGCGCAGATCATTGAAGTACATGAGAAGAGACAACCAATCCAGTGGAAGACATGCTATAAGGGTATGTGGTCGGGTATTACGAGCGTATTGGAGCAAGATATATGGGAAGATAACGAAGAAGTTGAATAACAGATCTCGCAGTTAGTCAAATGACTCAGTATATGATTTCGTACGTGTTGCTGCGACATTAGTTTATGCGATGAGTATTTTGTGCGATGAGCGAACGGTTTGCAGATGTGACATTCTCCCAGATGGCAAAGTTCATCACATTGATTACATCGCGAAAGGTTCACATAATGATGGAAATGAGTGTTCAGACACGACACAGTAGCTTTGAGCAATGTGATGTTGATCTCAGACAGTATCATGCACGATACCACATCCGCGAATGATTCCAACAAGACGCCTTTGTTCACGTCAACTGAAACAATTCGCAAATGACTCTTGTTTATTGGTACGTCAATAACTGTATCGCTGGAAGAGCCTCGCTTCCAAGCTACGAAAAGCAGTCTAGACATCTACGTGTCTCTTTTCCATTTACCCACCAGTATACCATCCTCACACTTGAACTTCCCCACAACACGCCGCTCAACCCTCAGTCCTCCCACCTATAGCCGTGAGCCTCTACATCCTTCCTCACCATAGCCCGATACTCCTCATGCAACGCCACATGTCTCTTCAGAAACCCCGCATCGCTGTAGCCGGCCTGAAGATTCCGGTCGATGAGCCAATACGCAATGAACGCATCTAGATCAGCCAGCATTAGTTTCGAGCGATTCATGAACTGCGCTTGAAAGAGGGCTTCGGTGAAGGGACCGCGGTCAAGACCTTGGGGGAAATTGCACGGATGAACACCCTCGGCGCAATCGATAAGCGCGTAGGGTATCTTGGCGATGTCGAAGCCCGTGTGTCGGTTGACACCGGGTGTGAATGTGTAGTGACCGGTCGTGTGGATGATCGGCTGCGGTGCAGGCGGTGCAGCTCCTTTGACAGGCTTTGTCACCCCCTTCTTCTTCTTCCAGTCCTTTACCCAGGTGCGTGCGTCCATACCGAAGAGACAGTCCAGACCCTGGAGAAGGTGCTGACGATTCTTCGTGATGAAATGTCAGCTCAGTACAATGACGCGCGTTCGGGTAGCCATGGAAGAAGACTCACAATGATCCAAGCCTGGAATCTTGGGTTGATTCCGCTCTGTGCGAAACGGGCTTGTACTTCGGGAATCTGCGCATGTAAGGGAAAGAACTTGAAACGAGTCAGCAGTGTCTCGAGAATCTGTAACGAGTCTCATACCGTAAGAATCTCCAACGCGGTCAGCGGGATAGTGAAGACGGATAGATCGAATTGTGAGGGGGTCACAACACTGTGCAGTGGATGGAAAGGCCTCTGAAGTACATCGCGGGGCGGCATGTGGTTGTACAATCCGGTATGGATGAGTTGATGCGATACGGACGGCGAGTATAGGTCCGTGAACCCAGGTCCAAAGTAACGCATGCTCTTATTGCCTTCTTTAAAGTACCCGTTTTCGTCGAAGGTAGTGCGGCCTTTTTTGACTTTGACGTCGTGCTCTAAATCGAAGTCGTCATCGTCGTCGTCTTCGTCGCCGAGGGCGGAAGTCGCTCCAGATCTCGAGCGCTTTCGGGTGTGCACCCGTGGGGTAGCGCCGCTAGGCGCACGCGCACGTTGCTGATTCTCCCTGCGATTAACGTCGGGGTTGTTGCTAGGTGTTTTCCGGGGCGCTTTGAGGGCAGTACCGCGCTGGCGGCCGGTGGTGGGACTGCTCATGACCGTTATCGAGACGAGAGACGAGAGACGAAGGGGCTTGATATCATTAAGATCGGGCGTGTAGAAGAGACTTGTTTTGTTTGTCAATACTCTCTCACTCCAGGAGATAAGCGAGCACCCTAGAACCGACTTTGACGTCAGATTGTCATATTTGCTTGTCTAATCCTGGTGAATTCTCCATCTCTTCGGGGTATTTCCACGTAAGAGGGCGTGCAGCTCCTCAACGCGACAAATCTGGGGGGCTGAGGAGAGAGCGTAGCGCTAGTAGACCGGACAACGGAATTCTAGCAAGTGAATCAATTGACTGCCTAGTAGCAGAGCAGCAATGAATGGGAACAGGCTACGATTTTGACTCGGACTGGGGCATCGTCTTGGTTCGGGCTAGCCATTAAGAACATACTTCGATAGGCAATATGATTGTGATAGCTTTGAGGAGCAATGAAAGAATTGGGCAGTCTGGAATACCAGTCATCAGAATTGATGAATACCTTGAATATACCTACACGTGCATCTCGTCCTGATCGGACAAGCTCCAGAAACGCTGCACAATCGCATCAGGAAGGGCAGGCAAGTGCGTCTTCATTGGGCGTACCACCAGCTCCTCACCCTTTCCCAGGCAGAGAAGCACGGCAGACCCATTGCTCGTGTTCTCCTTTACCGTTGTCTTCAACTCCCCCAACAACCATACAAGCTTACGAAGAGCTGCTTGTCGCTTGCTGTCATCCTCGTAGCTCTTCCTCATCTCCTCTGGAGTGAAGATCCTCTCGGTTGAAGAGAATACACCATCCTTGTTTGTACCAAGAGACCACCGCGAAGTTCTACCAACCCAGATCTGATCGAGGGGCTTGCTCTGGTTGTTGCTCTTTAGTTCCATTGTCTTGCTGTGAGAGATCGACTTTCCTGCCAGAAGCACGGTGGTCGAGTCAGAGCTTTGGAGTCCGATGGTAGTGTTCGCAATTTCGGGCTCGGGATGCGATGTGGATTTTGCCAACATTTCTTCGATTTCGTCCCGGGAGGGCTGCTCATCGGGCATGTATGCGTCCGTCTCTGCTCTTACCACGATGTTGAGGCCACCGAAATCGTACTGTATGGTATGGTGATGTCCTTCCGCATCCTGAAGATCTGGTTCCAGTTGCGTCGTCCAGGCAGCCTCAAAGTTACGCCCGTACGATCCGTTGGTAGAGCCAGCCATACCAGATCGAAGCCGTCGCCCCACGATCAGAGTGTTGCCAACAACGTGGAGAGTAAGTGCGAATGGCTGGCATGATACATCCTTCACGTATGCAATGAGCGCGGTCATTGATCCACGAGCGACGAGGACATCGACGTCGTCGAAACGCTTGCTTGGCATCATAACAGTAAGAGCCTGGAAGAGTGGCTCGAACTGGAATCGCGGTACCTTGGCTACATGTTGATCGATATAATAGCGTCCTGTATCTGGCTCCAGTTTCAACGGGGCAGGTGGCTTCGTGAACATCGGCGGAGTCCCAGGAACGTAGATAGCAGGAGTATTGGTGTACGACTTAAAGCTGTAGCTGCAAAGAAGCTCATAGCCCTGATCCGACACATGGTTTGGCGACTCGGGTATCGCCTTGGCCAGCATATTGAAGATGATATCGTTGCTCGTGTTGGCGTTCATCCAAGGATCATCCCGTCTGCGCTTTAGATACCTCTTCCACCAAGCCACGGCGGACTTCCACGTACTGCCTTCTACGTAGACACGGTCGAGGGCGATGATGGTAACCGAGTAAACAGCTAGTGCAGCCAAACCCTGCCACTTGCTCCATGACTTGGAAATATCCATATCGGCAGACACCAGGTCCGACTCGTATACTGCAGTCGAGAGTGGGCTGAACAACGTGGAGCAGGTGGGGAGTCAGGAGGATCGTGTGCTGCACTCTTGCTTCAGTAGTCGATCTAGGGGTTGAGCGAACGTTAGGTAGAGTGGTGATAAGCTTCCGGGTGGTCGGTGTGTTGAGCTAGGCGGTAGGATGGTAGAGTTCGTATATATCGATGAGCAATAAGGTGAATATACGGCAGGAGAAAGGCGAGGCTACACTCATAGGCTGCAGCCAATAGATGGCAGTAACGTAGGGAACGATCAACATCTGCCATGAGTGCCTGCTTCATTACGCCGACCCCGATGGGATTGAGTGAATTCATAGCGAGAGAGCTGCAAATCGCGGTCGGCAATCGCTGCCTTCGAGTCTATAACTCGAGATTAGCGAATCCAGTGATTGCCATCAAAACTAGCAAATCATCGCGCCCGCAAGCAGCGTGCGGTGATTTGGTACAGCTTGACCGCTCCTCTGTGACCGCATGTCTCAATTGGAGAAGGCAGCAGGCGTTTGTCAGGCTACCATGCCGAAAGCGCAGTGCAGTCTTATAGGCTCAGTCCAACGTGGCCGAGCCATCCAAGCGTTTGTCTCGGTGTAAAGCAAGGCGACGATGTTGACGAAGAAATCGAATCATCGAGCTCCCGAGGTCGTCTCGCTGACGATCGGTATGTCGGCGGGGAAAGTGCTGTCCTCGTTTAATCAGTGGCGTGTCTAAGTTCTATGGGCTCGCATTGTAGCGTCGATGCCCGAGTGTTGATTCAGCATGGCGAGCATCTGCGTAGGGGAAAGCTGTTGGGCGAGGTTTGACAGCTCGATGGCCGAAGTTCGAGGACGCGACGCGTGTGCCACCGTCCGCTGACGTAATGGCTCGAGTCCCAAAACGCGCTACGATCTCGCTAACCCCAACAAGCTGATCACGTGCATGGCCCGAAGTCCGTCATCACCGTGCAGCAGACTTCATAGCGACCTCTCGACTTGATTCCGCTAAGATGACACGACCATCTACATACCCCGACAACCACTATTACTATCGTGCCACCGGTGCAGACGCCGATGCGATCCCTCCCGCTTGCGGCACCACGTCATTCGGATGACCCAGACTCATCTCCGCACTCGAACCCCCATTTCCTTTTATGCCCACAAGCTCCGGCAACGACGATAGATCGAATGGTATTCGCTTCTTTGTACTAGTGCTAGTATGTTGTCGCTGCTTCCGCCGATGAAGAAGCCAAACAGGCGCGCACATGGCCATCAACAAAAGAATGGCGAAGCCCACCGCGATACCGGCAATCGCGCCTTTTGGTAATGGCGATTTGCTTGATGAGTCGGGGTTGGAAGGAGTGGTCTCTGGCGCAGGCGAAGGGAAATTCAAGGAGCAGGAAGATGAGCCGTCCGATGCGGTTGAACACTCGGGTGTAGGCAGGATCAACTGGATTTGCCTGGCGTCGACAAGGTTGCGCCATATTTCGTCAGATAGGGTCGTGGTAGTAGTGACGGGAGCTTTGCCTTCAACGCATACAACCTCATCTAACGTGGTAACGTCCGTGCCGGGGAGGCTGAAGCAACCCTGTTCCACTGCCAGGTTCGTGTTCCCTGCGTTAGTACGGTAAAAGCTGTACCGATGAGTCAATCAACTGGAATTGTCATGCTGTGCATACACGAGAAGAACTTACGAAGGACAGCATGCGACTTGAGTGTAAGTAGAAGGTGTGCTGAATGTCCTCCGTGCTACATCTACCCATCCTTCTGGACATTGATTTGCTGGTGAATACACGAGGTTTGAGTGGGAAGAAAGGTAGGGGCCGAGCCAGTGTGTTCCTGGAGGAAAACATTCACTTGCTAGAGTGGGCTTGCCGTCAGATCCGCATGTCCGGTCTCTTTCCCACGATTCACAGCTGCTGCTGCCTTCTGTGTCACACTCTCGAACGGGAACGGAGCAGTAAGCTGGTGCGGTGAACGGCGTAATTAGCGACCCGTAGGGGGCTGTGGAGTCTGGTGTTGTTATGGGCGACGACGATGTGCGGGAAGTGGTGTCTGTGTTGCTGGTAGGGGAGGATGATGTTGTTTGTTCGCTGGCAGAAGGCGAAGACGAAGATGTAGAGGGGGAGTCGGCCATGTTGCGGATAAGAGAGGATGGTTTTGGCTACGAGAAGACGACGATTAACATATGGGGATCGAAGGCACCCGTGCATTCATATGCAACGCCTGGCAATATGCAACGCCTGGCAACAGGAACATTATCATGCGGCGCATGACACCGTTGGCTAATGAGAGGACGGTCAACGGTGTGACGAGATTCACAAATGTTGCTTGAGTTCCGCGCCGTATGCTGCGCCGCACATCTGCCCATGCGTTAAAGCGGGTGAGAGATTGATCCTTGGCAACCAACCTTGCCGGAAATCTTATGTTATGTATATGACGACGATTGGCACAAGGGATGATCAAACGGAGCAGCGCATGCGCAGTGAGATCCCGCGCTCGGCATGACCGACCCGCGCACGTCAACGGACTTAGGAAGGCGGAACCGAACAAAAGCCTCATAGCAAAGGATCATGAAGATGAGATAGGGAAGGTTCAGTCGGTCTCGAACGACCAAGTGGTTACAGCGTATCGCTCTCTGCTAAACAGTATGGGTATCAATATAGTAACAAACGAAGAAAAGATCCACGCCATCAAAACCCATCAACGCCCTGGTGTGAGCGCTGTTTCCAATCTCGGCGACCTAACTTCCGGCTGTGGATGAAATAAACCATTCGAACTCGCCATCTGTGTAGGCGGAGAAATCATGCCATGGTTTCCCACAAACTCAGGTAACGCGTCGTGCTCTCCACTCGGGCTAGCCTTCGGTATCGGCGCGTGGTGATGCTGATTTTGGCGACGACGCCAGAGGAAGAGGAGTCCGCCGGCGAGTGCCAGTGCGGCGACCGCGCCTACGGCGATGCCGACGATGGGGCCAGTACCGAGACGACGTGATTTGGGTTCTGGGGAATCGGCAGGTGGTGGGTTATAATGAGGAGGACCGAAATCTAATGTTGGTTCGCTGAGAGGGGTGAATGTCGCCTCCGAGGCCAATGCAGTGGTAAGAATCACTTCCATTCTCGCGGCCCAAACGGCTGTGTTGCCGCTATCATCTTCGCTGGTAAACCATTCAGAAGCCAAGCTTCCATCCGTCTGGCAGGCCAAGACCGAAGTCGAATTGGCGGTCCAGGTGATCGAACTGGTACAACTCGCGAAATAATAGGTATGCGCCGAGTAACCGCTGATGAACAACGTCAGTGACTGCCAAACATGCTGGCCAGAACCTACTCACGATGGACAGCATACTGCGGTGGTCCGGCTTGACGAATCTATAATCTGACTTTGCGTTGCCCACCCACCAGGACATCCCGTAGCCGGGGAGTATGTCAAGAGCGAGTATGGGAATGGACTGCCTGGAAAGCATTCGCTAGCACGGGTGGGGCGTCCATTTGAACCGCAGGTCTGATCGCGCTCAATGAACCCACAACTTAGGGTAGGTGTGCCAGTTGAAGTTCCGCTAGACGGTGTCTCAAGAAAACATGACGACTTGACAACGTTGTTGCAATAAGACGGCGGAGTGAAAGGGGTCATGATCGAATAGGAGGGTGTCGGTCGCGTAAAGGAGGAACTGAAGGAAGTCGTCATGGATGCGGTTGCGAAATCGGCCATGGCTGAGTTCGGAGAGGCGATGAATCCGCGTACCACTGCAAACAAGACGAGACCAGCAGCGAGCATTTGTAGTACTCACAAGGGATGGGAAGGATGAGGTCAAAGCGCAGCCCTGCTCCGCCGCCCCCATGCTCCCGTTGTGTGAGACCATGCAAGCCTCGCGAGTGGCTTCCCTCTCTCCAATGAGGGTGTGGGTCTATTAGCAGGCGCGTGCAGACAGCATGCATTCCGCGGTGTGCCTTAAGCCACTTTGAGCTCGTTGGGTTTTGCTGGGATGTTGAGCGAGATTTCGATAGGGACATGGCGTTGAGTCGCTTGGCTGGGTTGTTTGCGGCGTATTGAGGACAAAGCATCCAGGCAACCTCGGACAGCATCGTGGTTGACGTCTCTGTAGTACGAACGATGGATTGAGAGTATGACTGTGAAAATGCTACGCGACGTATGCAAGGCTGACCTGCCTGACCACCCTTACCTTTTGACAGCGCAATTCGCGTTTAAACTTGCCTTTTGGGATGCGGTGTGTGGGCAGTGATGGCGTTGGGGGCCAAATTTCCTTTGACAGCATACTAGGTGGCACAGTTACCAGAAGATTGGGTCTCGATGCTGGCTGTGGAGGCTGTGTTATTTATGCGCTCCACCCCAAGCAATGGCATATCGCCTATCACGCGATAGCGATAGGAACATTGTGTATGTTATAGGCAACACGATTCGGAAGACCGGCGTGTTTTCTGCGCGTCGTGGTTTTGCCAAGCAATCGCGACGGGACATTCGGGGCAATTGGGCAACGACGCAATGATGCGGAAGTAGAAGACGCGAATTCGCGTGCGCATACGTGCGAAAGTTCATCATGATTGAAATGAGACCAGATAGTGGTTGAGAGTGTGTGTCCGCGGCGGTGGGTTGAGATGAGGTCGGAGTTGGGTAGCACAAAGCTAGAGGCGTAAGCAGCGTGGCGGCGAATTGCGGGGAAGGCGTGACCAGCAATGCAGCACTTCTGTGGATGAGCAGACCTTGATACATCCCATCTTTGAATTCTGGCTTACGAGAACATGGGCTGATTAGTATGCTCAGCGATTGTTGTTGAGTGAGCAAAAAGGCCCGGCCTGGCAAGAGGGCAATTGCCGAGAGAACGTGACCTGGCGATATGTGGCTCCGAGATCCTCGGCCCAGCCGTCGCGACTATGTTGCCCCACAACTTAAGTTAAGAGCTGTCTCCGCCTCCGCATTCACTCACCATCTCCCCTAAACATCGCCTTCCTCACTCACAAACCTCAATTAATCGCTCCTCTCTACCTTCACAATGACCGACCGCCTCAAGTCCATCGTCTCGCACATGACGCCCTCGGCCAGCGGCATCTCGGCCCTGTAAGCTCCACCCGGACAGATATGACACGTGAAGAACGCGCGGCGGATGATAAGGGAAGAATGCAGCGCTGACAGCCATCAACAGTACCACCAAGAACCCCGACGATGTTGTCATCACCCTCGCCATCCGCACTCCCCTCACCAAGGCGCACAAGGGTGGTTTCAAGGACACGACCCTTGACGGCCTCCTCGTCAAGACGCTCAAGCAAGTCGTCGCAAAGTCGAACCTCGATCCCGCCGTAGTAGAGGACATCTGCGTCGGCAACGTCTCAGATGCCAAGGCTGCCTACTATGTCCGCGCCGCCATGCTCGCCGCTGGCTTCCCCAACACCACATCCGGCTCGTCGCTGAACCGCTTCTGCTCTTCGGGACTCAAGGCCGTACAAGACATTGCCAACCAGATCGCCGTCGGTAGCATCGAATGCGGTCTCGCCATGGGCGCTGAGAGCATGACAGCAGGCGGCGACAGGCTCGAGAGGCCGTTCGTCGACGAGGTGCTCGAGAACCAGGAGGCGAAGGACTGCATGCAGCCCATGGGCCAGACCTCAGAAAACGTCGGCAAGGACTTCAACATCTCGCGCGAGCGCCAGGACAAGTACGCTGCCGAGTCATACCGGAGAGCCGAGGTTGCGCAGAAGGCGGGTTGGTTCGACGACGAGATCGCGCCCATCACCACCCAGATCAAGGACCCCAAGACTGGCGAGGTCAAGACCGTCACCCTGACCAGGGACGAGGGTATCCGCGCCGGCACCACATTCGAGAGCCTGCAAAAGGTCAAGCCTGCCTTCCTTCCCCACGGCGACAGGTCACACGCCGGAAACTCGTCGCAACTCACAGACGGTGCCGCTGCCATCCTCATGATGAAGCGCTCCACTGCCGAGAAGCTTGGCCAGCCTATCCTCGCCAAGTACGTCGGTGCCACCGTCGCTGGTCTGCCACCCAGGATCATGGGTATTGGCCCATCCGTCGCCATCCCCAAGCTGCTCTCCAAGTTCAACATCACCCTTGACGACGTTGACCTAATCGAGCTCAACGAGGCTTTCGCTTCCATGGCCGTATACTGTCTCGAGACACTTAAGATCGACCACCAGAAGCTCAACCCAAGGGGAGGTGCTATTGCGCTGGGTCACCCACTTGGCTGCACTGGTGCGCGTCAAATTGTCACTGGTCTAAGCGAGTGCAGGAGGCAGAAGAAGAAGGTTCTCCTTACCAGTATGTGCATTGGTACTGGTATGGGTATGGCCGGTCTGTTCATCAACGAGCAGAACGTGTAAGATATTTAGTTTGGTATATAGCGTTGTATATGAAGCCATTTTTTACCGTCTACATCGAACTTCACTCATCTTCCCCGGCCCATGCGTATTCAAATCCTTCCGTGGCGTCCTGCCTGCACTACTCCGCCCAAGCCAGGTGCACCTACCCGATCGCTTACTGTTCGATCGTTTTGTTGGCTGACACGCGACTTCCGAGCCAGAACACGGAAGGTAGTTTCCTTCTTGGGAAGGCGATTTCGTGTAGTCAACAACCCACTTTCCCTCCTGAATTATAACCACGGGAGCCGCGCATCTGCTCCAAAGGCCATCTCGATTTCGGCAAGCCCAGCATCACAGATTATCTTCCGGCATATCAACGCCAAGCCGCAAGTCCCCAGAACCATGGTACGCCAGGAAGCTGGGAATTTAAAATCTGCTCCATCAAGGAGTCCCTCTGCATACCATCATTTTCAAGCCTACCCGTATCGCACAAAAGCTCTCGACGTATCACCTGCACATCATCTGCGAGCGCACAGCACATCCCCTCCTCCAAACGCACGCACCAAAACCCTGAAAGACACTATCAAGACTATCAAGACATGTCGGATAATAGCAAAGACGCTGTAAAAAGCTCTAGTGCGACGGCGAGCGTTCCGAGACGCGCAATACCCGAAACGATGTACGACCGCGTCAAGCACCTCCCCGAGTACAAGGCCTGGGTGGCTGGTGGTGGTTTGGCGCGATTCGCTAATGAACAAGATCTGGAAACAGATTTTGTAGATCACATATTCCGCACCAGCCCCCAGGTTCAGATTGCGTACGATAGAATCCTCCGAACCATGCCCAGCCTATTGCAGGAGATGACGCGGGATATGAGGCCAGAGCCGACGACCTACAGCCAGGCAACCGCACTCCAAGCAATGAACGAGCATGACCAAGACAGCAGTTCGGCTGCAACCTCGGAGGACGATGATGACAGCGGCGAGAAGACGAGCAACCCCGAGAACACAAGCGAAAAGGAACCCGCGAGCAAGCAAGCCAGCGACGTCGTGAGTCGCAAGACTCGGTAGCCCTAGATACATCTTGATACCAAGACTAATACCGGGTATTTCACAGGATGACCACGAGGACTGGAGTTGAAGCGCGTTCATGACAGAAAACCGTCCCAATTCCTCACCTTTCAGATGCGGGAGAGCGCGCAACCTTCAATGGAGCAGCCCGACAAAGGGGGGCCACAAAGGGGGGTTCCGCCTCGGCGGAGGGTAGCCCCGCGAAGAGACTGAAGCGAGAATGATCGCTACGAGCGACGTTGTGAGTCGCAAGACTCGGCAGCCCTGGACACATCTTAATACCAACTTTGGAAGACTCAGGAATGATGTACGACGGAGTTCAACACCTTCCTGAAGTCAAAACCTGGGTGGCTAGTAGGGGCCTGGCACGATTTATAAAAGAACGTGTGTCTTTATGACTATTAGAATCCTCACGTTGGGCAGTCGTTCAATGACGTAACCGTTACCACTGCACACATCACAGCGACATACCTAGGTATACATCAACCCTACAACTAACACGCCCGAAACATACCAAACATCCAAATCACCGCCAAAATGCCACATCCAAGCCTCGAATACACCACCGTCCAACCCCCCTCATCCACCTACCCCCAAAACGCCACCCGCAACAACACCTCCGGCACCGACGCCTCAGTCCTCGACCGCCTCAAGATCCGCGAAATCTGCGAAGGATGGGGCATGTACCGCGACGCCGCCGAGTGGCAAAACTACTCTTCATGTTCCACCCCGGCGCCTATATAACCACATCATGGACGCAAGGTCGCCTCGACGACTTCATCGCATCCTCCAAAGAAGGCTTCGAGAAACAAACGCCACATGGTCCGTTCCCGTACATTCTGCATCGCATCTGCGGCCAGACAGTCGATGTACAAGGCGACCGGGCGATAAGTAAAATGAAAGTCACAATCGCATGTCGTATCATGCTTGATGGCATCGAAATGGACAATGAAGCAGATACCCGCTTCTTCTTCTTCCTCTCGAAGAACGACGCTGGGAAATGGGGTGTTAATTTCATGACTCTATTGTTCGATAAGGATAAGATGGTTCCTGTGGTGCCGGGGAAGGCGTTCGATGTGCCTGAGGAAGAGGTCAAGCAGTATCCGAGTGGGTATCGGTATCTGGCTTGGGCGGAGAGTAAGGCGGGGAGGCCGCCGAAGATGGATTTGAATGCGCATGGGCCGGAGAGGGATGTGCTGTATGGGAAGTGTAAGGTGTGGTTAGAGGGAGGGGATGTTAGGCCGAATCTTACGGGGGAGGATTTTGAGGAGTGGTGAGGGGATGGTCACGACGCAGTTGAAGATCTTGTCAAGAGTCAAAAGGATATCAAAGATAATTACTACATGCCGGTGATGTTTGATGCGCAAAAACAATAGCCATTAACTCCCATGAGAGTCGAACTCATAACCTTCACGGTTCAAGTCGTGATCGCCATCCTCAGTCGTGGAGTTTGACCCCCAGGAGCATCCGAGAGAAAGCGGCGCTTGAATAGAAGCGTGATGCGCTACCATTACGCCAGAGAGTCTTCTTTCTAATTGTGAGATATTGGACATCTTCATGAGCCATATACCTAGCTCTTTCCGTTCAGATTAGACTGGACATCCGCGACGGAGTAGCCCCTAGGCGGCATCTTCGGCCTTCACACCCTTCTGCTTCTTCTCTACGGGCTCCTCCTTCACCATTACCTCCCCTTGGTCAACCGGTTCCTGCGGTGTCGCGTCGCGCTTCCTCTTCCTAGGCTTACGCTTAGCCTTGGGCTTAGGTGTCGGTGTATCAGGTGTCTGTAGTCTATCGTTCGGAACAGCTACAGGCCTTGGCTGGGGCACCTCAGGGATGATGTTGTAATGCTGAAACATTGGTGTCCTAGGCATGAGCCGACGTGTTAGTTTGTCGTGGTACACTGCACCTGCTTCCCCGAAGATGGGGCTGTCGAAATTGTTGGTTTCTATAGCTTCGAAGATTTCATCAATGTCTTCCTGGGGCCGGGGGACGATTTGAACTGGTGGGTAATTGACGGGCGTGGCCGTGGGTGTTGGGCATTGAGGGGGAGTGTCTGGCGTTGGATGATGAGCTTGGGGCGACTCCTGGGGACGTTGATCACCTGTTGGTGATGCGGCCTCTGGGGAAGCTTGGCTGGCTCGCATTCGCTCCGTAGGTGCCTGCGGTGGAAACAACTGATCATACAGTGGTGGCGGGGAAGGCATACTTAGTGTAATTGTAGGTAGATTTGATAGAACACTAGTCGCACTTGCATCTTCCCCACTCTCCATGCGACTTTGACTGTCTGCAGATGCTGCATGCATTTGTGCGTCTGTCTGAGTATCACGGACCTGAGGCGAAGAGTGAATAGCTTCGGAGACATGTTGCGAAGTCGCTACTGCTTCTTCTGGTGATTGCCTATCGGATTCGCGGGCGGTTTCCATCGGGTGTAAATACTTTCTGCTCTTGAAGTTGTAGAGTTATGGATTAGGGAACTGGAGTCCGTTGGCAAGCCAATATTTGAGCAGGAAGGGAACGCGTTCACTAAGCCGGTAGCTGGGATGTGGATGAGCCTCGAGCATTCAAAAGGGTCAGTGGTGACTCAGCGGCCGATGAAGAAAGTACTATTCACTTCCGCGTGAGTTGGAATCGCTTTGAAAGGGTCTTGTTTGTGCGTCTGGAAGGTCGTAGGCACATCAAGTGGCCAGAAGAATCTGCCACGGCTGCCCCATCTGGAAAGAACGGTGAGTACGAAGAATGCCATCCCGGCCGACGTCGATTTCACATGATCAGATACAATTGATCCATACGCACGTCATAAACTGAAAATGTTCGTTCGAAGACGAAGTTGATGAATGCTGACATGAGGTCGATGGGCGGCAAAAATGCTGCATCGCGGTGGTGCGAGCTTTGCGCCATCACGGACCAGCCGAGCCGAAGACTTCCCTACATCACGGGATGCCATGCGACAACTTCAGTACATTCGCAAGGGACTGTGCTGCTCGAAAATGGAGATGACGGAAGATGGTGTAACTTTCTGAGATGGATTGTGATGGAACAATGTTGAGGTACGTGAATGGCGATCGATGATGCGGCTAGATTTTGACCGACCAATCAGCAGCGACTTGCTTCAAGACGAGCACATCGACGACTTTAAGGGCCCTTTCTTCTATCGCGTCTTCAGTGAGCACAGTGCAACATCTTACCAACCAAGATCCTCATTCGGCCCATGTCTGTTCCAGTCCAGGTGTGACTTTTCGTATGCTCATCTGAGTCTGGATTGCATAGAAGAACACCTTCGTCTTCGCGACTCACAAGCTAGTCCTTTCATAACGGTCTTCAGCGACTTCGGTAATTCTTGTCGTATTACCGTATGACTTGCGTACTGACTGATAACAGCTGCGGCGTTACGTGAAGCGTTTGATCTCTATGTCCGAGGTCATGAAGCTATCCAGGTAGTTCAGATCCAGGCTTCAGGCCTGGTGACCGATCTCGTAAGCCCAGCCGGCAATCACAGTGCTCTGATACCTTCATGGCAAGGCACAAAAGGTTGGATAGACCGGTGGCTATGCATGGCTGATCTTGGACCAACCCTCGGTGTCGACCCCGTATACATTCGCCCTTCAGAATGGCTGGCTTGTGGTTCAATATCCAAAGCTCGGTTCTCAGCCGCCTGGCCAATCATTGGTGGGCGACTGTACTTCAACGAAGGAAGGAGCGAAGACCTCGCCGATTTCTTTGCGCGTGTATGCGGGCATGTGCCAGAATGTTTTCCAGAGCATGATGTGTCTGAGCGATACGAATACGACTGGGACGGCGAATGCTTTGTTGGAACTGAACGTTGGCGCGATGCGAGCGCGTCGATCCAAGAAACGAGCGTGGCGGGCGCGGGACTGGGGCTAGGACTTGCTGTCTCACAAATCACGCGACCGACGCCGTTCGGATATGCCGGCTATCTGCGTGGAATGGTTGTCATAGACTGATGTATCATGTATCTTGTAAAAGTATTGTACGATTAGATGAGGTGGCCTTGAAAGGAGATCTGCAGGTGGAAGGCAGCAATGGCACTAGGCTCAGATAGGACAAGCGGGCTACGCCGTACCGTCGTGACATGTAGACCCATGTCAGCAACCCCTCTTCTCTACGACAACATTATCAAAGTACGGTCAATCGTTGCACACCGAAACTTCACGCCCAAGAGATCTCTTCGACAAAATGGACGCTGTGTAAGTAGTCATAATACCTCTCGAATCTAGCTCGAAACAGCACTAACATCAGCGTAGCACATTGCATAACCAGATTGAATCGCCCCTACTACGCCTGCCCGCAGAACTTCGCAATAGGATCTACGAACACGTCTTCCGCGTGGACTGTATCAGTTTCTATGGAATGCACGCCTGGGATTACAACACGAGCAACCACTCGAGGCCTGATTACAACCCCAATCCCATGCGCGGGACAAAGTCAGCTTCACAATCCCTATCCTCGCTTCTTAGATACCTACTAGTATGCCGCCAATACTATGCGGAGACCAGATTGTTGGTATTCAAGCTGAGTCCTCTCTGTGGACGTCCGGAACATCTACTTGACGCCGTGGAAAAAATGCCCAGGGACGTGCGAGACGCCATTTCAGTCCTTCGCATCTACGAAATCGAAAACTGGACGATCTATTACCGAGACTTTTACCTCCCAACAGATCTTCCTAACCTGCGAAAGGTCGAAGTGCATTCTTGGGCTCCTAAGGTCGTGGGAGATCCGCTCTTGTTTGCCCATGAATGGAATAGACGTCATGTTCCAGAGGACAACGAGGTTTCGCGTTTGAGAGTTGAGAAATTTTTCAGAGATCTCAAGTCGAAGGATACTGAGAATGCACTTATGAATGTTCAAAAATATGTCAGCAGTCGGGTTGGGGAAGGAGTTGAGATTACGTCAATTGATGCTCCGACTCCCCGCTACAAACACGTCATGGAGGGAAAGTGGGAGATTATGTAGGATTAGGCGAGGTATGCGGGAATCTTGTAGTCCATCATGTAGTACTCAAGGCTTCTCTGATTTGTTCGGATATCTTTTCGTCTAGGTCGTCGATGTTGCGTAAGTTGTGAGTGTAGTCCACCAGGGACTTCTACTACGATACCGCACTTTGCGCAGGTGTATAGTTTTAGAAAGCGCATTTCTTGTACCATTGCACTTGCTATGATATATGCACCTTCGCCATACGCTTCAAGTTCACAGCTTCCGTAAGATAATCACGCGCCCACCTCCAGCATCTTTCCGGTACTGATGCAAGTCCGTCTCCACAACCTCAACCTTCTCCTCCTTTTCCAGTCTCTGCACTTCCTTCTCAAACCCCTTCTCTACCCAGAAGCTATCTAGCACGGTTGCGACTACAACCCCACCATCCTTGACAACCCTTACGAACTCCTCCAGCGGCTCTGGTCCGAGATGACCATGTGTGAACGTACCGCAGCACGTCAGCGCATCGAACTTTCCGTCCTCAAACTCCAATTTCTTCGTCAAATCCGCAGTCGTAAGGTCATCGTACACGGCGGTGTTCTTAGCAACCGCTAGCATGCCTTCGCTGATGTCGAGACCTAAGATATCCGTAGCGCCAAGCTTGGAGAGCTCGATACCAACAAGACCGGTACCGCATCCAGCATCCGCAATCTGTAGGCCAGCGAGAGGCTTGTCGGGTGAGATGTGGTTTAGCTTCAGGCCGCGGGCTACTGCTTGAGCGACGAGACGTGGCGCGGTGAAGTCGTGCAGAGTCATGTCGGAGTCGTATGTCTTCGCCCATTCGTCGTATAGTTCGCGCGACTCTTCGGTAGTTTTGGCGGCGAAGACGCGGTCTAGCAGCGTCTTCTCGTCTGACGTCGCCATATTGACGGTGTGATGTGTGTCACGCTTTTAAGGCTCTGTGAACGGCAATGCTGTGATGCCTGTATGCAAAGAAATAATGCCTGAGGATACTTGAGGTCGTTGTTTGTGATGAAGCGGTACCTGCCAAGGGAGTTAGAGGTCTATGGACAGTTGTCACGCGTGACGTCATCAATCGCGATAAGTGATTTCGCGACACCACCTGGACACTTGTGCAGTGCGCAGATATCATAAAACAACAAGATGACTTTCGGAAGAGTAGACGCAGATTCTTGACCTCAAATTGATGGTGCTATGTTCGCAAGACTTTATACAGCAGCAGCGCAAAGCTACGAGACTGCTATGCGCTAGGCCACGCAGAACCCAAGTGACCTCAGGAGCTACTAGCGACGTCTTAACGCGATAAACTTTCGCAAGTTATAGTACTATCTAGATGCTATGGCCAAGAAGTCTTAACATGCCCGGCAGCAACTGCGTATGCCGCCACTCTCTTCCTAAGTTCTTCGGTCCTCTCCGGTTGTACCTCTCCTTCCATGTTTACCACAAGAACGGTCTTCCAATCTGGAAATTTGCACAATGCTTCCAAATTGACATCGTGTCCAGATTCCTTGAGCTGCTTCAGCGAGCGATCATTGAACACCGACAATTTCTTGAAACATGCGACTACGCCAGCAGGTATGAGGTTCTCGATAGTTGCGAGTTCTCCAAAACCGACATGAAGTGGGTTCAAGGAAAATGGCAAGAAGGCAGTTTCGTTGTAAACCTGGCGGCAGACCATAGAGGGGGAAAGGAGCCGGTCTAAAGACTCGTAGCAGCGGTACTGGCGACAAAGCTGATGAAAAACTCTGATTAGGAGACGATCTCGAGCCACATGTAGTATATCTATGAAGTAGCAAGCGAATGTGTACCCATAGATCTGGTTTCGCAGCTCTCGCGGTAGGCGTAGCAACGGAGAGGCAGTCTGATTCTGAGTTGTGCTTTTAGGGTCGATAGTTGCCGGAATACAACGACAACTTGATTATGGTGCTTACATCTCATTTGCTTCAGATTTCGACAGCTTGCTGGTAGAAACGTGCTTATTGCGACGCAGGTATTCCAAGAGAGAACGGCTGCAGACGCGTTGTGTGCCACGACATTGGCATGACATGTCTTGGATGTGTACAGTGGAAATGGATCTTTTGGAGTCGATAAGCCAGATGAGCGCAATCAGTTCTGCCCTAAGGAAAATCAAGGAACTAAATCGTAAACGCAGGCCGTGTATTTAATGGAACGATAGGTCGAGGGGAGGAAGTCATACATCATGCGGACGAAGACAATCATGAATCGCAAACAGCATGCATTGCCAGGTGACTACTATAGTATTGGCTTTGTTAACGAATTGGATCGCGTGCTTGCTCGTTTCACAATCGATTCAGATGTCGTGTACAGGTTTTAGGTGGGAGGGTAAGTAGCTAAACTTCGCTCTTGCTAGTGACGGCCACTCGGTATAGGCAATGTATGAGGTGATGCAGTGTTGCATAGAGTAAATGTACAGTGTGTATTAGCGAAAAGAGGTAACGCATGAGACGAA